TTTCCCTGTAGGGCACACCCGTCAAGTCTGACAGCAGTTCAGGCCAGTCCGCCATCAAGCACAACGTCAAGTCCTTGGTCGCGGGGCCTAGCAGACTGCCCCGTGGGCTGCCTCCGCTGGAAATTAGGCCAGAGAGCATAAAAGCGGTCGAACGGGGAAAATATGAGGACGTGAAAGCAGGCGAGCCTGTGCGTTCCCGGCACACGTCGGTGGTAAGCTCTGGCCCCTCGGTTCTCAGGTCAACGCTTCACGAAGCCCCCAAAGCACAGCTGAGCCCGGGGATTTACGAGGATGCCAACGCACGGCGGACGCCGGGGAGTTACGCCAGCACTGCGCCCAGAGGCTCGCCCATGATGAGCAGAGCTCCCGATGGTGTGTTCCTCCCGTGTCCTTGTCTGACGTCTGTGTTGTGCTGCCCACCTCCGCCAACAGCACGCAGCCCAGTGTTGGCTCCAGGTGGTCGAAAGCGCCGTCGGTTGTGCTTGATGCTAGGGCTCTGGAAGGCTGGCTGCCACATTAAAATTAATAGGCATAATTGTAGGTGAAATGCCTAATGTTTTAACTAAATGCAGAGTATGATGGAGTCCAGAAATGCTTGAGCAAGTAATGCTTAGAGTAGATTTTCAGCTAACCCTTGAGGTTTTCTGGAAGTCAGTCTGGACTCCTGGCTCCTGGGCGCCGTCTGCTGTGGGGTTGAACATTTAAGCTGTGGAGCCGGGCTGCTTAGGGTTGAATCAGGGTTCTCCTTGCTGTACTAACTTGGACCCGTTCCTCAGGTTTTCTGTGCCATAGTTTCCTCATCTGTGAATTGGTGGTGTAATACTAAGGCTTATTACCTCATTGGATTGTTCTGAAGATAAAATGAGGTGATAGGTTTAAAGAACTTGGAAAGAATAGTGCCTCGTGTGTAGGAAGGACTCAGTTACTGTGCGCTCTTCTTACAGTTGGTACTGCTGTTAGCGCCACGACCCCATACCTCCTTGGGGTTTATGCTGCTGGCAGGTAGATCAGCGAACTGAGAGGCATGGTTTTTACCAGGTGGTCCTTGAAGCAATCCAAGGCCCTTAAACATGCTTCCACTTAGCATGTTTGGCTGTACTGCGGTAATCATTTATCGCTGGGCTTCTGTGCAGGGTCCTGGGCTGCACTCTGCGAGGCTGTGGGCGTGAAGGATGTGGGCGGTGGGAGGGGTGGCACGGAGGGAGGAGGAGAGGAAAGCGCCTGTTCGGGGGCGCGGAGTGAACCCAAACCTGTGGGCTCTAGTTACGAAAGAGAAGTGCCCTGCAGGGGGAAAGGCTCTGCAAGTTAGAGCAGGTTGATTTCTTGGTTTTGACCGGCAGGTTTGTGTGATCATAGCAAAGTTGACATTATCAAAATCTGAAGGACTAGGTGGTGCTGACGGTTGCACAACATTGTGTGTGTATTACTGTCACTGAAGTGTACCCTTTGTAATGGCTAAAATTGTAAATTTTATGTTCCGTGTGTTTTACCACAATCACTAAAACGGTAGAGGGTGGTGGCTGGTAGCACTGATGGGACGCTCAAGCCTCTCTGGATACCGTCATGTAGAAAAGCAGCAGCTGGGGCAGGGAGGAGACTGGTGCTGGTAAGAAAGTCCCTGGACGTGCAGAGTGAGGAAGCACAGTGTAGCCTAGCAGGGGCTGGCAACGCAGGCGCGGAGAGTGAGCTGAGGTTTGATGCATGCAGGATCAAGAGAAATTAGAATACCAGGTTGCGGAGACAACGAAACAGTGTATAGTGGGGTTTAAAGAGGAGTGTCGAACGTCGTTTTCAGTCTTAACATTAGGTGGTAAACCCGGGCTGTGATCCAGAAGCGGGCAGTCTCCAAATCACAGAGGTGCCTGCCAGTTCTTCACATTTGCATATTCTGCAAGATTACTGTTACATGTTTAGTGGGAAGAGACGATCAAAATACTATACGAATATGGTCTGTATTTGAGTGGTTGAGAAATAAACATTAACAAGTTTGCTTAAGAATTTGTGGTGTTGGCCCCTTTATTTTTTCTTGCAGTTACGATTTCTTCTAGCAAGTCTACCAGTCTTGAAAGGAAGTCAACACTGACCCCTACCCAGAGGGAAAGCATCACAGCGAAGTCTCCAGTTCCTGGGGTAGACCCTGCAGTGAGCCACAGCCCTTTTGAGCCGCACCACAGGGGCGGGGCCCCAGGGGAGGTTTACCGGAGCCATCTGCCCACACATCTGGACCCAGCCATGCCGTTTCACCGGGCTCTGGATCCTGGTAAGCACCGTGTGTAGTAATAACTGAAAGCAAAGAAATAACATACCTGTGTGCCTTTCTAGACTTTCTGTTTATTAAGGTACAGTCCGCAGACAGCTGCATGTGTCATTAGTGTATATAGTTCAGTGAATTTTCACAAACTATACACCCCATGTAACCAGCTCTCAGATCAAGACAAAAAATATTACCAGCACCCCTGAAAGAGCTAAAAATACCAGGTGTGTGGAAAGCTCTCTTGTCTGATGGCATTTGGTTAAGCTGATTGGAAAAGTGGGTTAATGTGAAGAACTGTTTTTAAATGACACATGCATACGTTATATGTTTCAATTTACAGCAGAGACATGCATTCACCAGTGTTCTGATCTCAGGTCAGGGGCCACTGATGAAACCTCACCACTGTCTTTCTTGTATAAATGATACATCTCCAGGTTTGGTTTTTTAAGTGAAGTTAGAATTTAAAGACACTTCAAAGCAATCTAAATACAGAATCCTTCTAGATTTTTTCCCAGTCTTTTAAAATTATCTAGTCCATACCTAATTCAGCTTCTATATTGAGTCTTTCCAAAGCAGTCAACTTAGTTTCTGGAGAAACCACTTTTTTTGTTCTTCTCTCATAGATTTACAGAGTTTTTCATTAAGTTACACAATTACAGTAGCAAGTACAGCTGGAAGCAACTTTTGAACAGACACCACTGACTTTGAGTAAACATGGCTTTGGTCAGTGTAGAAGCGTGTAGGTTTTCTAGAGAGCAGCCTGCACTGGGCACGGTGATGCTAGGGGCACCGGGCAGTGGACTCTGCACAGGGGAAGGAGTCCCATCAGCAGGTTGGTGCAGAGTCTTTGCTGGGCTGTGATGATGTCAGTACCATCACGTTGTCGCTTGAGAACGTTCCGTTTCAGAGGAGCCCACACCTGGTTCTTCAGGGCCTGTCTCCAGGACCGAGGCGGAAGTTCCCACTCACACAGTCAGCTGACAGATTCAGCTGGGAGTTCTAGAGGAAGGGGACGCACACACTCCCGAGAGCTTGTCGTTTGTTCTTCTAGGGAGAACATATGTATGTACATATGATAGTTCCTTCAAGCTCTCAGACAGAAGCAAATGTTTTTACTTTCATTTAGTGTTTATCATAGTCCTTTATTTCACAGCAGTTTCACTTGCTTGCCATTTTTGAACTTGAGCTGGGTGATCAGTGTTTTGAGGATAGAGGCATTATCTTCTTTTATTTCTTCCAGTTTTATTGGGATAGAATTGACATACAGCACTAAGTTCCTTGTGTGTGTTCTGCTCATTTACCACACCTCCAGCTTCCTAGCATCTGTGTCACGCTCTAACCTAGGGTTAGAACAGCTACAGCCTCGGGCCAGATCCTGCTGCTGCCTGTTTGTGCAAATAAAGTTTTTATATTTTGTCTGGCTGCTCTCACACTGTAATGGCAGAGTTGAGTTGGTATGACAGAATGGTCCACCGAGCCTCAAATGCTGACCACCTGGCCCTTTGCTGGCTAATCTCTGCTTTAAACAGACACGCTAATTAAATGCTTGTAGACTAATCATTCTTACCCCCAGAAAAGTAAAGTTACTATCTGTTACAAAGTGTTTTCACACATATTTCCATTTAGTTGTATTAGATGATCGGTACTATAAAAAATTATTTTCAAACACAGCTTTTGGAGACTTCAGGTGAAAAATCTAATAAAGTTCCACGTCAAAGATTGAAAATGAAACTACTGGAGAATATTTTTTAGCTACTGTTCTAGTGGTAAAAAGGTTAATACTCTTGTTTTGTCTAGTCTGTCTTCCCCCTTTCCATTATGTCTGACATTAGAATATTTACATTCATGTTGCTGATATGTCAAGGTCTAAAAGGAATCCACCAAAATCCTGTATTCCCCCGACCCCTGGCCCCATGACGGCTAGAAGTTGATTGTGCACATAGCTCAACAGATGGTTTTTTTCCTTATTCTTTCTGTGGGTGATGTTTGGCAGTTGAGTTCTACCCAGACTAAACTACGTCTGTCTCTCTTCTCTCCCTCAGCAGCTGCTGCTTACCTGTTCCAGAGACAGCTGTCACCAACCCCAGGTTACCCCAGTCAGTATCAGCTCTATGCGATGGAGAACACGCGGCAGACGATCCTCAACGACTACATCACCTCACAGCAGATGCAAGTGGGCCTGCGCCCGGATGTGGCCAGAGGGCTCTCCCCCCGGGAGCAGCAGCTGGGTCTTCCGTACCCAGCAACCAGGGGTGTGTGCCTTTGCAGACTCGAGCGTGTGCGCCCAGGGTTTCCTAGGCACTCTGATAAATGCTTGGTGGGTGGATGATGGAAAGAAAGAAAAGGCCATTCCTTCTCTCCATAGCCATTCGCCCAGGAAGGCAAACAAAGTGACCCATCGAGATGGGCTGTTATGGCAACACTGATATATTGAAGCCAGACCAGTGCGCTCGGGCTTTGAAGCCATGGTCTCAGCAGTCCCCCTCCCTCGTTCCTCTGTCCACGTCTCTGGGTGCTGGTGTGGGGTGCGGTACCTCATATCCTGCTCTAGATGGAGATGGTCTCACTGTTTGTAAATTGTCATTGGGTTTTAGAGATAAACAAAATTAAAAAGCCAGGTGTAGTTCTGTATCTTTAGAATAACAAATAAAACATAATTTTGTTGTATTTCTTTTGAATAGGAATCATTGACCTGACCAATATGCCCCCAGCAATTTTAGTGCCTCATCCAGGGGGAACAAGCACTCCCCCCATGGACAGAATCACTTACATTCCTGGAACACAGGTCACCTTCCCTCCGCGGCCGTACAACTCTGCGTCCATGTCTCCAGGTGGGTCTGCGCTCACCCCTTGCTGGTGTGAGCAGCGTGCTCATGTGCTGGCAGCAGAGCCCTTGGAGGTGTTTGGGGTCCTTTTCCTGCATTTGGTCTGCAGTTTTCCATTTAATATTAGTTATCGTTCCTCTGCGCTGTCTGTCCCTAGATACTCGGGAGGGATCTTGGGAGCTTGTGTTATGCTCCGAAGTCACTCGAGACTCTTAATAAAACACACTTCCTACAGCTCAGCTTTGGAACTTCCTGAAAATCTTTCAGTCACTTGCGAGTGTAAAACTTGTTTGATGCACCTGTACGTTGACGTTTTGTCCTCAAGTTGCAGGTTTGTGTGTTTTCCAGGACACTCAACACACCTCGCGGCTGCGGCAAACGCTGAAAGAGAGCGGGAGCGGGAGAAGGAGCGGGAGCGCCTCGCCGCAGCCCCCTCAGACCTCTGCCTGCGGCCAGGTAGGTGGGAGGCCTCGTGCTCGTGCGGCAGCGGGTGCCGGGGCGACCTCGCAACCGAGAGTTACTAGGCAGAAGGCGGTGATGGCGCTTAAGTGGAGGTGCTGTGCGGGCTGGAGTGGCGCAGAGGAAGTGGAGTTTCCACGATGACGGTGTTGTGGGCATTTGGCCCCAGCAGTTGGGTCTGCAGAGACTGGGCACACGGCTCACTGAAGCCGAAAGTCGCCCGGGTGAAGGCTTACAGGAGACCAGGGAAGACGGGTGTCTTGTGGAGCTGGCGGTGAAGGAAGAGTGGACAGCATGGTTAGCAGGCTGTGTGACGGTGTGAATTACAGTCCAGTGCAGGAGGCAGGTGGCGTGATCAGAGGGGCATTTGCACGGGAGCAGCTTGAGATGGGTTAGAACCCGGGAGGCGGGTGTGGGCTGGTGCCAGGAGGACAGTGAGACCATGTGTGTCGTCCCTGTGTCTCCTGAGATAGGTTGACACTGGGAATGGCCAGAAAGGAGGTGCTTGGATGAATATTGTTAAGGTGAATCATAAAGGACTTCACAATAACTGGATAATGGGGGTTGAGGAAGAGGTGACAAACAAGATTGGTCTGCCCTTCAGATAGAGCAGGATTGTTGAAAGCAAAGTGATAGTGATTGTTTCGGCCGTAGCTAATCTGACGTGTCTTTGGAAGATGTGTTCCTATCCATGGCGTAGTTGTCATTTTATATTCTGTGAAATCAAACCATTGATCATGTCCATGTGGTCAGATACTCAGAGCAGTACTTAGGAGAACAGACAGAGCATGGAGATGGTGACTTGAGAGTGGAGAGTCTGGCTTGAACAAGATATCAGGGGGGCAGGTGTGCACGGAGGAGCAGGTCTGTCCCGAGATGTTTCTGGGAGGCTGCTAGAGGTGGGGGCAGAGGGGGCCAGAGACCCGCCTGAGAGGTTGGTGCAGAACCAGAGGGTGTCACATTCCCGTGGCCACAGCCGACAGACCCCCTGGATTGAGGAGGGGGCCGAGGCCAGCGGTCACCTCTGACTTCCTCATACCATTCCTGGGGCTTTACCTCCAACAAGTCAATGGTTGCAAAGCCTAAGTACGTTTAGATGTCACCTGTTGTCTGTATATAATTCAAAGAATCACTAAGTGTCTGACCGTAGGAGGTGCTTTAATGAATCATGAGGTAGCACCATAATATTGATTATATGTTGATTGTATAGAAACCACGGGAATTGATTTAATTAAAGAAAGCCAAGTAGAACTCATACATAATTTTTTTAGGAACTGTATCTTAAAAATGCTTGTGATCCTACTGATGAATAACATGCATATTTAAGTCAATAAAGTACCATTTTTCTCCATCAGACATTTGAAAGGTCGATAAATGTCCTGTGTTGAGGTGTGTGAAGAAACACTGATTCTTACACATTGTCAGTGGCAGTGTAAATAGGGATGGCTTCTTCAGAGATGTAAAAACGGCAATAGTAACCCCACTTCTAGGAATGTGCCCTGCAGGGCACTCAGTACCGGTGTGAGGTCAGAAGGGAGAAAATTGCTCAGAAGGCTGTGCTAGGCGCCTGCTCTGAAGTGAAGACAGGGGTGTTTGCTAGAGCTGCTGGCTCAAGTGGGAAAGTCAGGGTGAGGCCGAGAACCCCAGGAGGCGGGGGAGAGGGTGAAGAAGGGGGAACCTGAGACCCTGTGAGTGAAGGAGCTTTGCTGTGGAAGAGCCTCGGCCAAGCGGAGGGAGCTGCAGAGCTGCGGGTGGGTGGGCAGCCTCAGGCCCTGCTGCAGCAGATATGCATTATTTGCATTATGATACTTAGATAGTTGTTGCAAACTTGATTTTGGAAATGAGAAACACGCCAGAGTTTGAGGAAAAGTCTGAGAAACGAACTTATCTGAGTTGTATTAGTGCTTCATTATTGGTGTTATTTTTATTTCTCTTTGGATTCAAGATAGAAACTTGTCACCAAAATGGAAATGACAGTAAATGGTAGCTGATGATTTTGTTTCAAGTTACTAGTGTGGTTTTATTGCATCTTTATTGGAAAACTCTTACAGAATTTATTTCTAGAAAGGCCAGAAAGCAGGGTAGCAAGTTTCTTCCCTTGTTTTCCTTTCTCCTATTTAGGAATATTAGGAAGGCAACGATTCCCCAGTGATGCTGTCCAGCCTCTTCCTTATGGCTTGTTTCTTTGTCCCTCTGCCCTGCAGGCTCAGAACAGCCAGGCCGGCCCAGCAGCCACGGCTACGTTCGCTCCCCGTCTCCTTCAGTCAGAGCTCAGGAGACCCTGCTGCAGCAGAGACCCAGCGTTTTCCAGGGAACCAATGGAACCAGCGTGATCACACCTTTGGACCCGAGCGCACAGCTACGGATCATGTAGGTCTCTGTGTACACTTGGACCAGAAATCCCCGTCTTCTGCACACACGCCTTTAAATCTGTGACTGCAGTAGTCCAAGGAGGGTGATGTTTCCTCCTGCTGCGCACTGTTTGTTGCAGTCCGTCTGTACCCCCCGCCTGTGCTGCCCCACCACACACACACACACACACACACACACACACACACACACACACACACACACACACACACACACACACACACCCCTCCCCCCCATGACCTTTTAGTCACTGATCTCTACAGAATCAAAGCATATCTCAAAAATCATTGAGGCAGTGATGTTATTATGTCAGATTTTTAAGTGAGAGAGTAAAGGCAAGAGGTAATTAAGAACTTTATAATTTTTGTAATAATGAGGTTACAATGACTTCAGTAAATCTGATAAACGTATCACTTTGAATAGCCTAACAAGCGACCAAGCCAGCTCAGCAGCTAAAGAGTAAATTTCTAAACGTAATTATTTCCTTTGGGCCCACCTGAATGGTCAAAGTCTTTGTGCCCAGATAAAAATATAAAATAAAAATTCCAAAGTGGAAGAGGATGCCAATTATATTTCTAAAACAGATCTCTTACTGTAAGGAGACATCAACATAATTTCATATTTCCAACCATTTAGTTACCTAGTTAAAACACAATACACACATATATGCACACACTCACGCATTCAAAATACAGGAATGGTAGTACAAAAGGTTTGCAACAGCACTTATTGTATCTACGTTAAAAAAAAAAAAACATTAGAACATACGGGAAAAACTGTACTCACCTCTAAAATGTATTTTTTTTAAGATCCTACAAAATGCAGCTGACGCTAAAACTGAAATTAATTTTCCCTTAGCAAAACAGTTATTATCAAATTCTTAATTAGACAACGAATCATCCCAAATTGAGGAGGTGGACTTTGAGAGCAAGTTTTATGATTTTTTTCCCCTTTACCTCTTTTTGTGAGGGTGTATGTGCATGCTTCCGTGTAAGATTTTGTCTGTATAGCTTTGCTTCCACCATTTGTACTAAGGATCTATCCGTCCCTTTTTTTTTCTTTTTCTCTAAATAATTATTTTTTAATTCAATAATATTATTATACTTTATTTTATTTTACTGTACCTTCTTTCTTTCTTTTTTCCTTCCTTCCCTCCTTCCTTCCTTCCTCCCTCCCTCCCCCACCCCCTGCCCCCGGGAGAGTCTCCCCTTCACAGACTTCTGGTTTCGTTTTATTTTCAGGCCGCTGCCTGCTGGGGGCCCTTCCATCAGCCAGGGCCTGCCGGCCTCCCGTTACAATACTGCTGCGGACGCCCTGGCTGCTCTTGTGGACGCCGCAGCGTCTGCTCCCCAGATGGACGTGTCCAAAACAAAAGAGAGTAAGCATGAAGCTGCCAGGTTAGAAGAAAATTTGAGGAGCAGGTCAGCAGCAGTTAGTGAGCCGCAGCTAGAGCAGAAAAGCCTGGAGGCGGAGAAGAGACCCGGTCAGTGTGTGTGCACTTCTTCAGCCCTGCCGAGTGGCAGGCCCCAGCCTCATTCTGCCGTAGTTTACGCTGAGGCTGGGAAGGAGAAAGGGCCTCCTCCAAAATCCAGATATGAGGAAGAGCTAAGGACCCGAGGGAAGACTACCATTACCGCAGCTAACTTCATAGACGTGATCATCACCCGGCAAATTGCCTCGGACAAGGATGCAAGGGAACGTGGCTCCCAGAGTTCAGACTCTTCCGGTAGCTGTATGTATCTCAACCCGACCTCGCACTGTGGTACCGAGTACGGAATTACTTGATTATTTAGGGAAAGCAGAACCGTACGGTGTAAAGAAATTCTAATCTTGGCAGTAAATGTAATGGAAAGGTTTTGTGGGTTAGGGGTGCAAAGTGTCTCTCCTGCTCTTACGACTCTTTAAATATCAGAGTGTCTTAAGTGTACCTGTCAAGGTGTTTTCCATGAGAAGCCATGCCCTTTGTGGAGAGAAGGTTGGAAGGGAGATAGAGGCGGAGCTCACTAACATCTTCAGGCTCTGGAAGGTGATGGATGTGTCATCAAGCACAGCGCTACCGAGGCCTCATTCCTCAAGAAACGTTTCCTAGGATGTGATTCAGTACTTAGGCCGATACCCCAAAGCCTCTAGTGTTCTTTTTCTAAGATACAGATTTTTTAAAAAGCGAGACCACCTTGTTGGTAATTATTATTATCGGTAATTGGCATTTCTTGCAAGTTGGATTTTGACCAAGTCTGGTTAGTCACTTTGCTATCTACCCTGTTAAGTGTAAGAATTCACAAATCTACAGTAAAATGCTAGAAAAGTTACTTTAAATGTATTTTTAACTACAGCCTAAATTCTATATAGAATTCCTGAAGGAATAGGCCAGTATTTAAACGAGCATCCATTAATACTGAAGTAATTTAACCATACGTAGTAACCTCTCATTTCCAGTAATGAACTGAGTAGAGTCGGAGACAATGACCTGTGGGCCCTGTGCACCAGCATGCAACGCATTGTTCTGTTTAGTTTAGTTAGTTCCACGCCTAGTCGTAACCTATTTGGGTAAATAACCCCATTGCTGAGGTTTTTGGAGACAAGTGGGGGTGCAGCTTGGTAGCCTGTTGTGTAAATGGAAGACATCCTTTAGCCTGGACTGTGAAAATCAGCCCAATAGGTATTATCCATGAAGAAAATTTGGAAGATCCCTAGTTCTATGACTAGGCCTTTTGGAGGGAAGTCACCAGCACACATCTGGTGACCCAACCTGGGGCCTGTCGAATGCTCGCTAATCACCCGACAACACTTCTTTTCAGTTTGCATCACAGAACGTCTGAGAGCAGAGAGTCTGGCTGCTTTTCTGAGTGTTTATCTTTTCATCACTGAGTCAGTTCCTTGTGTGAAGCCCACAGGCTCTTCACAGTTACCAGCGTGCCCTCCGGTTTTTCTTCTCCAGAGCCTCCCCACCCCCTCTTCAGGCATCAAGAACAGTGTGCTCCCAGAGTAGCGCCAGGCCTCCCGTGGCTGTGCATTGGATGTGGGGAGCAGATTAGGAGGATGCTGGCACATGAACAGTGATGAATACCCACTGCAAAGTAGTATCAACTACTTTGAATATAGTGACTTATTTTAGTTCTCCAAAGATAATTTCCACCCCAGTTAACAGGTTTCTGTCCTGAGCGTACTAGACCCAGGTTACTGCAGCTTCCGTGGCCTGGTGGGGGGCAGGAGAGGGCTGTTGAGATGAGGTTGGAGGAGTGGGTGGTGGTCTAGTAGCAGAGTTCATTCCCACCTTCTGCCTGTGTTCAGGACCCATCACCGCCTGACCACGCTTGCTGCTCTGGCCAGGGTCATACACCCTTTGGGCCTCTGACCGTTTCCTCAGGTGCTTCAGTCTACCCAAAGGTGCACACAGCGCTTGCGAGTCAGAAGGTTCCTGAGCAGGAGGTCACAGCCCCCCAACGCCCCCATTCTCGGCTCTCAGGCCATGGCAGGACTGAGAAAAGTACCTGGACCCCTACTGCATAGACCCCCGGTTTCCTTGGGAACTGCATCGTAGAAGGGCCCCTCCATGGCATGTGCATCCTCCCTTTCTGCTAACCCAACGGAGTGACTTTGCTTCCCTGCAGACATTCCCTACCATTTGTTTATCTTCACAGTGTAACGTGGTGCTAAAAAGTGGGAGAAATTTTTGTCAGCAGTACTCAGTGATTTGAGAAAATCATTATGTGATGTTACTTAATCTACAGCTTTAAAGTCGTCCTGGTAAAGAAGAGCTGACTGTCCCACAGAATGGAAACGACTGGAAACAGTGGACTGTTGACATCTACTCTCTCGTTGGTTTAATCCCTTCTGATGAGTTTCCTGGTGATTTTCTTTTCCAGCCCCCAGGAGAACGTCAAGATCTGTTTCTGTTGTGCCTCACCTAAAGGTCTTAGAGCCCACAGACTTTCAGGAAACTCCGTACCCTGCCAGGATTAGGAGTCCGAGGAAGCGCCTACTGACCTTTGACACCATGCATTGACCTCGTTGTGTTTTTTTTTGTTTTCCATTGACCTGAGATGCCATTGAACATTTCTCAGAGTAAAAACCGAAAATTTGCAAATAGGTTTGAAGAGCTTGGACTTCCGAGTCTTTTTATAGGATTAGTTTTAAAATAGATTCTTTTCTTTTCTTCAAGTATCTTCTCACCGGTATGAAACACCTGGCGATGCCATTGAGGTGATAAGCCCTGCCAGCTCCCCCGCGCCGCCCCCCGAGAGGCTGCAGGCCTACCAGCCGGAGGTCGTGAAGGCGAGCCAGGCAGAAAGTGGGTCTTTGCGTGTTTTCACACTTCCTTCTCCTTGCCTGTCCAGAGCACGTTAAGAAATAGCTCGTTTTGTTTGAGAGTAATCTTGTATGAGTCTAGAAACATGTAAAACTTTTAAAACTGCTCTAATGGAAAACGGTTTTTAAGCCATTATTGATGACTTTTTTGTGTATATTTTAATAATAGCTGATATTAGTTTTGTTTGCTAGTCTTCTGATTTCTCTCAGTGAATAAATATTTTTTCTTCAAAATTAAGATATGAATTCCCTTCCATGTGTTTCTCTGCGTTATGTTTAATCTTTGCTCATGAGTGAAAGGCGGGCCTCCCTGGAGTAAGACATCTGTCTGTCCCCGTTAGACGAAGCCTGCAGGCAGTACGAAGGACCGCTGCACCACTATCGGCCGCAGCCGGAGTCACCCTCCCCGCAGCCGCCGCTGCCCCCATCTTCACAGGCTGAGGGGGTGGGGCAGGTGCCCAGGACACACCGACTCATCACACTTGCTGATCACATCTGTGTAAGTTTCTCACTCTTCTTACTAGTTTTTTTTTTTTTTAAAAGAAAGATCATGTAGGAGGCACATTTCACGTAGAATCACAATAAAGTCTAGATTTTTTACGCTACACTTTCTTGAAAGGACTCAATGGCTCTAATTTCTTCTTCTCTCACGCACAGCAAATTATCACGCAAGATTTTGCTAGAAATCAAGTTCCGTCACAGCCTCCCCAGCAGCCTCCCACTTCTACATTCCAAAATTCACCGTCTGCTTTGGTGTCCACACCCGTGAGGACTAAAACATCAAACCGTTACAGCCCAGAATCCCAGTCTCAGTCTCTTCACCATCAAAGACCAGGTTCAAGGGTCTCTCCAGAAAATCTTGTGGACAAATCCAGGGGAAGGTATGGTCTTTATTTTAAGCCATATGTAAATTTCCCAACAGTAAAACAGTTTGTATCTCCAAGTTAGGAGATTCAGTTCTTATACCTAAAGTTATTTTACCTTCATTCCCTGGAAAGTGTAAATGAGGGTTTTTCCTCTGTATATTATTCTTGGAATGTCTACTGGGCAGTTTGGTCCTATACCTTTTTGTTTTGTATTCACAAGTTGATTGCTCTACTCTGTGGGTTTGCAAAGACAGGAAGAATGTGTGGTTTGGTGGTAATGTCGGGACACTTGGCCTGGTTCTTCCGAATCCTAAGAATGTTCAGATGTTTAGGAAGCTGACATTAAATAATGAAAGTGAGGCCAAGAGAGGCACCACGAGAGGAAACACGTTTATATGCAGGGCTACTTGGTAAAGAGCATGTCTTCTCCCCCAGTGCTCTGCATTTGGAAGTTTAAAAAATGGACGCAGGGCTGTTCGTCCAAGGTAGTAGACTAAGTGTTGGGGCCTGTGAGTTGATGTAGAGCAGCATGAACGTTCATGAAGTTCATAAAATTACTGAGAACAAGACGGGTGTCAGGTCAGAGATTCTGCAAAGATCTGGAAGACACACAGCGGGGTAGATGACCCAGAGCAGCGGAAGCCACAATTCAGTTTACAGCAGAGGTGGTTCTCCAGTCTGCCTTCCGACCCCCCCAAGTTAGCAGAGAACATAGGGAGGAAGAATAACTTATTTGAGAAGCTGAATGTGCTCATTTGGGAAGAAACAACAGCTTTATTGTGGGACTTTTTGAACACACAGAAGTAGAGAGGACAGTGTAAGATGCCACCGTGCATCATCGCCCACCTTCAAGATCGTCAGCACAGGACCAGTTTGTTTCATTTTATCCCCACTTGCCCTGCCCTCAGACTGCGTTGTTTTGAAACAAATCTCAAATGACATAATCATTTCAAGAAGCTGGATGATCTTAAGGATGAGATGAAAACCCATTCTCTTTTAACAAAGACAGAAAAAACAGAGAACTTGTTACAAAGAAGAACAGAAAAGCTATAGCAGAGTCATCCATGGCACGTTCTCGATGCAAAGTACCACATAGATTTTGAGCATTAATGGCATTTTTGAAAAGAAAATCCTTTTGACTTTTTCACGTGTAATTTCTGCATCACTACACCGGTACTTTTTTTTTTTTTTTTTTTTTTTTTTTTTTTTTTTTTTTTGGGGGTGGGGGAGCCTCTTACTGTTGTGGCCTCTCCCGTTGCGGAGCACAGGTTCCGGACGCGCAGGCTCAGCGGCCATGGCTCACGGGCCCAGCCGCCCCGTGGCATGAGGGAGCTTCCCCGACCGGGGCACGAACCCGCGTCCCCTGCATCGGCAGGCGGACTCTCAACCACTGCGCCACCAGGGAAGCCCTACAACTGTACATTTGAATGAGGAACGTTACATTTCTTTCATTGGTTTTAGTCGGATTACCTGGTTTTACAGTTTAACATGTTTACAAAATCCATAGTGTTGTAAAACACCATTAACTGATTTTTCAGTCAGTGAGCAAAACACAGAGGAATTTTTCTAGAGTTTAGAACAGAATGTAAATGCTGTAAATCACATAAAAAATGGCTGAGTATGCTACGTGTACAGTTAAAGTAGACAAACTACAGATTAAAATAAAATGGGCAACAACATAGAGAAGGTAGTCAAGCTCTTCATCTTTCATGGAAGGAAACTGATAAGATACTGTTTCAAGTTCTGATACATAAGATTGATTATTTGGATGATTTAGAGGTACCCACCAAAGAACTAAAAGAAAAATGGTCAAAAATGGCCACCTCTAAGAATTGGATGGGGTGAGATTGGGGAAAGAAATGACAATACATATATAATTATACTTATCTATAATAGTAATAAAAGCAGATACTAAAGGTCACAGATGGCTTTTAATATGTACAGTTACTAAACCAAAAACTTTTTTGGGCCCAAACAGTGTTTATCTCACACCATCCTTACAACATGGTGTCCAGAGGAAGAACATTAAATTGCAGGTGTCAGTGTGGCGCTCAAGTCCTTTGTCTTTTAACTTAATGGGGAAGTAACCTGGTAGGTCCTGGCTCGAAATCAGCAACAAGACCCTGGAGGGCTCAGCGGAGTAGCTGGCCAGGGGCATGAGGAGTCCGGTGCTGGGCAGTGACCTCCCCACAGAGCCCGGGCTGCGGCCCGTCCCTGGCACCGTCTGTCGTGCGACTCCGTGTGCCTGGACGAAGCAACAGTAACAGACTTTTTCAAAATAACTAGGTACAGAGTGAGTATACGAGGCCACTTTTTTCTGATATGTATTGCCAACTTTTGGTCCTTGAAATGACTGAAGTAATGAAGTAACCAGTTACTGTTCAGGGTGAGCCACAGGTGAGCCCTGGGAAGACTGTCTAATGTTTTGTATGTTCCAGTATCAGGCCTGGAAAGTCCCCAGAGAGGAGTCACGTCTCTAGCGAGCCCTACGAGCCCATCTCCCCACCCCAGGTTCCGGTCGTGCACGAGAAACAGGACAGTGTGCTGCTCCTGGCCCAGCGCGGAGCCGAGCCCGCGGAGCAGAGGTGCCTGTGCGCGCGCTGTGTACCTTTCGTTTTCCTGAAGTCAGTGCGTTTTTCCTCTTCCGGGTCATGTGTCAGGCGGATCGTTTTGTTTCTGTTTTCCTAGTGACCTAATGCCAGTGGATTTTAATGAAAAAAATGTAATATTTAAATAGGTCATAGAACATAATTGTTCATTCTTCTTCTCAAAGTTAAGTCGTCCTAGATCTTATTTTTAAAAGCTTTCTGTCTGTGTGGTTGCTGAACCCCACTTGAGTGCTTGCCGGGCACCTGGCCTCTGGGCTGTGAGTGGAAGTGGGTCACAGTGAGCCCCTGGGCTGGGCTGCTTGCTGTGTGTTCTCTTCGCAGTTTCTGACCCTAACCCGACCCTAGGAATTATTGGATTCTTATTCCCATTTGGTTTTTTAGACACCTTTGACTTGGCCCCTGCCTGGTCTACTTGCACCAGCGATCTGTCTAGAACTCAAGTGGACTCCAGCACTTGCTCGGTCACGAGCGTGGCGTGGAATCTCTCTGTGGCCAGGCTCACGCTCCTCACCCCACTTGCTGCTGCTCCACCCTCACGCTTCCCTCCCTGAGCCCCGAGTTCCCTCACCTGAACTCGTGCTGCTTTCTTGGTGTGGAACACCCTCCCCTGATGCTCTGATTTGCTGGTGATCAAATAAAGTGAGAGGGAGTCCAGCTTTAGACCAAGGTCTGCCTCACTCCAAACCGTTAGTGCATTTCTTAACAGTGTGCCATAGTTATTTACTTACTGTATATATTAATAGGCCACCAAATAGAGGTTGGTACCTTTCAAGGAAATGAGGACAAAATCCATTTTTGGAAAGGGAATGATGTTAAATTTAATTATACGTCTACATGTTTCCCCTAAGCTTGTGAGTTTTCTGAGGATGGAGACCACGTCTTAGTCATTCTTCTTTGTCTTCCTTGGATACAGTAGGTGTTCTCATGTTTGAGTGATGGACCAGATTAAATTATGAGCACCTTTCCATATGTTCTCTGTTACCGTCTCTGGCACTAGTTAGATCCTGGTAGTCCTGCACTGGTAGAGGAAACTTGTTTTTCTAAATGTGTTAGTATAGGAAGCTGCCAGTGAAATATGAAAGGAAGTCTTTATGCGAAACTCAGCTCAACTGGTCGCAGGCTTGAAAAGATTCTAATAAATAGGTAATTTTTTCTACCTTATAGGTATTCTGTTCAAGTCTAATTGTTGCTTAGGTGTGAGTGCTTGCTATTTTATAGGCAGGTGTGCTAGTAGTTACAATTTTATTGTGCTTCAAAGTAATTCTGCTAGTAAAATAGTTCCCAGCTTACATAGTAACCCTAAATATACCAGTGCCTGTGCTGTTGAACAGACAGAATCGTGACGAGTGTTCCCATTAACGTCCATTCACTCTTTGTTAAGAATCTTGGCTCTAGATTCTCTCTATTCCAGTCCTCATTTTCTGATGTCATCTTTGTGTCCTCAGATGTGATGTCCTCACTGGCTTTTGGTCACACACTGTCCTTAGGCTGTCAGCACAAACAGATGGGGAGGGACTCTGGGACTGGTACTAGCGTGGGCGGGGTAGGGGTGCATGATGGTAACACACGTAACTGTCCCTGACAGGAATGATTCCCGATCACCAGGGAGTATAAGCTACTTGCCTTCATTCTTCACCAAGCTGGAAAACACCTCACCCATGGTTAAATCAAAGAAGCAGGAGATCTTTCGTAAGTTGAACTCCTCTGGTGGAGGTGACTCTGATATGGGTAAGTGGGATTTCTTTCATGAACCCCAATAAAATACGCATTAATAATGGTATCTCCAGTGTTGCCTCTCGTGTAATCCTTGAGTTCGAAGGCTCTTACAGGCATCTGTCCAAGCCCAGCAGATCCTGAAGCTCCTTCCCAAATGTCTGTGGGCACTAGAGGGTTTCCTGTTAGGGAGCAAGCACTTGCCTCTTTCTGCAGTCCTCCATGTTCTCTTGGAACAAGGGCCGGGTCTGGGACGTGTGTTTCTCATGTGGGGCGGGATAGCCCTCCAGTGTTTCCTGCCCTGGTCTGCGCTCCCTCCATGCGGTCTGTCTCAGCCGTCTGCAGACAGGTGGCGCCCTTCCAGTCCTTTCTTTACACGCACCCCCGTTTCAGTGGCCGTCCATCAGGGGGCCTGGTTCTGAGCATTCCTGCCAGC